GGTTCTAGAACCATCCTTGCATCATTGTGTGGAATCAGGCAGGTGCTCCAAGCCAGCCCACTGCCCTGGTGACATGGGTGAGACCTTGCTCTCAAATCTTTGCCTGTTCCCTTGTGAGAAGAAAGCACACGGAAGGCAGACAGCTCGTGTAACTGCCATAAACCACACTGGAGACGAGCTGCTGCTGAAGATTGAATAGCTGAAGCAGCGCCATGCTACTGACAATGCAGACGGGCCATGCTCACACAGGATCATGGGGATGTTGGCTGGGTCTCTTGAAAAGAATCCTGTCCACAAGTCACCCGAGACGCCCCACCCGGCACCGTCCTCTGGGTACCTGGTTTTTCTCGGGACACCAACCTTCATCTGCTCCGTCTATGTGACGATGGGAGGGGCTGCTTCTGTTCTTCCTCTCCTGGGCCATGGTGACTGGCGCTGCCACAGTCCTGTGAAGCAAGCCACAGCCCAAGAAGACCGAATTCCAGTAGACCTGAAACATGCATTGGAGGAAGAAGAAAATGCTCTTTCTGATGAGCCCAAAGCTGAGCTTACAGAATCTGGAACCATGGAACAATATGCCCCATGGGAAGAGAATCCTGAGAACATGCTCTCCTCATTGGCAGCAAGAGATGGAGACAGAGTCTTCAGTTGGCTTTGTTGGATAGCTGTATCCAGACAGGCCTAAAGCCATAGCATACATGTGTGGTATATGTGTGTGTGCTTATGAACATGTGTGTATGTATATTTGTGTCATGTATGTGTGCATGTGTGTGTTTATGTGTAGATATGTGTGTATGTGAATGTATGTGTGCGTGTGAATTGTGGGCATATATATGTGTATTTGTGTATATGTGTACATGTATGTGTGAATGCATGCGTGTATGTGTTTATGTGAATGTATATATGTGTATATGTATGTTTCTGCGTCTATATGTATGTATTTGTGTTTGTGTGTTTCAGTTCTGTAAGTCACCAACTCCATTTTACTCTCTAAACCATTTAGACTGATTTCCAGTCACTTATTATAGCCAATAACTCATAACCTAAATATAAGTGATATTTTATGGTGTTTGCTCTCTTTTGTTTCTGAGATCAGGTGCTTTAGCTCTGAACCAAGCACTCCACAGATGGCCAATCCGAAAACAGGCTGCAATTCACATGTCTGACTATTTGGATCTTAATACTATAGAAATCAATCTGTCAATCAATCAGTCATCAGCCAATCCTTGGCCTTGTCTAGCAGTCCTCTCTTCAGTCTGTCAGCAGCCAGGAGCTGAATCGACACAGGGGGCCCCTTTCCATCTCCAAGCAGCCTATTAAGATTCGCGAAGGTAATTCCAGCTCCACGTTTTGATGGACCCATTTACCCCTTCTGTTCGTCATTTCCCCAGATTTTCTTGCTTAAATTAACTGGACTTTTGCCACCCCTTGCAGCAGAGTTGCAAAAATAGAGATCCCCAGATATCACACTCAGTTTGGCAGGCATTTGAACTTCAACAGCCCGCCAGCCAGTCCAGTTTCTGGGCTGTACTCATAGCTGCAGATTTAGCCCCCTTGGTGCATCTTATCTGACACAGTTTCAAGTTCAAAGCCACTTGTTTCCACAGCATTGTCCAGGGCAGGCATGCCTGGCTCATACATCCCAACACATCCATGACCTGCCTTCCTGGTACCTGTGGAAGCCCTGGTTACCTCCGCAAGTGGAGACTCCAAGGTGCTAGGGCCCAGGCATAGGGGACTGTGACTGCTTGTGACTCATCTCTCCAGTGGCCCGAGTCCAGTCAATTAATCAGGTGTTATTCTTTTCAACACTCACAAACAAGTATCTTTCCCAAGCAAGTGAACTTCTTTAAGATGGGCAGTAATTGCACGTGGTTTTATGAGGGTATTTATCCAAATGTAGACTGTGATTACTTTTCGCAGTTAAGTGCATTCTAATTTCCCTGATAGCCATGACAGCAGGACAGTGCATCATGGCTGAACAGCTGGCTCATCCCTGGCTCAGGATTCTGACAGTTCTTGGGTCATCATGTAATTTGGATTTTTTTTTCTCTGTCTTAATTTTCCCACCAGTCCGTGAAACCCATTAATAATGATATCACTACTTCTTTAATTTCCAAAGAGTACCTGCGTTATTTGCCAGGAAATTGATAGAAAGAATCCCAACTCACCATGTTCTATGATACCGTGACATGATTTACACCTTTCTGTCCCATTGTTTACAAAGGGAGTGATGAGGGCTCACAAAAAATAACACATCCTGTTCCCTTCAATAGACCTGTAAACAAGATCCAAAGAAGAGAATGCACTAGTCACCCTCCTTGTTTGAGTGAGCATGCTAATGTTGATGAACCTATCAGCCTTGATCCAAGATCAGAAACTCTGGAGATTTTGTTGAGATTGACAGTTTCCCTCAATCTAACCTTTTAAGTGGAGTCGATGATACAGGTCTTTTAAGGACTGTTAGAACTCGGCACTAATATTTTCTGAGTCAGAAACCTGGTAAATTATTTTTCTTTGACTCTGTGGCTTCTCTGCTGATTATTGCTGCTTTAAGGCATCTCTTGTTGCAGTGCGGACAGAAACATCAATACGGGCTTTGTGCTGCACTGCTATTTTGCTGAGTGACATTGCTTTCCTTGATGGGCTTGTATAGAAATGAATATTAGTCAAGTTCTATTGCAAATACTCCAGGGAACTCACCCTAATACGCACACTGGCATAGGCCAGTTGAATGTTTCTGTGAGTATCTGGTCTGAGAGGGAGTCCAAACCCCTTACCATCCAGGCTGTAACTGTAACACCTATTCCTCACAGTTTGTTTGGGAGTGGGTACTCTGTAAGCTACTTGATTCCAGCTGTCCTCTTCCGGAATTTGTGGGGCCTAGTAGCTACATACTGGCCTTGGTAAGATTGGACCACAGCTCAATTTAATATATTGATGTCAATTTCAGGCCTTGGTGTCAACACTGGCCCCATGCAAAACCCCTGTGGAGATAAGCTATAGTTGGGTGTGGGGTACCACAATCAGACACCTAGTGTAGCAGACTATGCTTGCCAGAGGGTCACGGCAGCACCCAGACCCTTCCATAACTCCCCCAACAGAGGTAGGGTTGTTTTCCATCACCCTCAAACTAGGTGAGAATCCTGACTTGCAGTTTGGGTTATAAAAGAAGATACAGCTAGGCCTGTGCCTCTTTCTCTTACATGCGGTTCACTCTGAACGTACAACCCACCATGTTGTGAGGTAAATAGGGCCACACTCTGGCCTGGGCACAGGAGCAGCTGGAGGGAAGTCTGTGATGGTCAGTCTTGTTGACTTGACCACATTCAGAACCACCTAGAAGACACATTTCTGGGGAGATGACGTTCCAGAATTTACCAGGAGGAAAGAAAGACGCAACCTAAATGTAGGTATCCCCATTCGATGGGCTAGGGGTCCTAAGCTGAATGAAAGGAAGAAAGCAAGGCACATACCAGCATCACTCGCCTTTGTTTCCTGACTGTGGGTGCCAGCCCGTGAGGCCCCTGCAGACACCTTCTCCACCATGAGGGACTGAACCCTCAAACTGTGAACCATGATAAAGCAATAAAGCCTTCTGCTTTATTGGTCAGCTATATTGGGAAAATAATATACTGTCTAAAATGGTAGGGGTAATGAAGACCTAAAACAGGTGAAGGAACTCTGATCCAGAAAGGCCTGGAAGAGTCAGATCTAAGAACGACTCACACTCTGGTTGGCCAGAAACCCCAGAAATGGATTTGACTTCTATGAGTTCCAGTTTTTCTCCTCAGAAAAACACAGGATAACAATAGCCATAATGTGGAAACTGAGGCACACATATCCTTCCAAAGTGTTGTGCACAAGCTCCGAAACTGGGGCCTGGGGAAGACCCGAGAACCTGGTGACAAAAGTAAGTGGAGATTTCCCAAATAGAAGGATGAGATTTAACTCAAAAGAAGGGAAACTACATGGCCCAGAGGAGTGTTGAGAGACGCAGAAAGGAATTGTGGGTACTTTAGGTCTGGACAAGATGAGACTGCGAAGGCTTGGCTGTCAAGGGAGGAAGAGAGTTGGAGCTGCTCATCATGAAAGGCTAAAAACTACAGGAAAGCATGGGAGCAGGCCTGGGATTTGTGAGGACCAGTGACAGAGGATGATCTGGGAGTGAGGACAGCTTGCAAGAGGGAGTCAGAGCCTCAAATAGGCCTTGTCCTTTACGTGGCTCAGTAGGTGACAGCCCCCGACATTCTCTCTGGCTTGGACGTGGGCTTGGATGTGGCAGGTCATCTCCTGGTCAGGTTCTGTGCTGACCCGCAGCATTGCATGTTACACTTGCCATCTAACTCATGCTGCTCCAACCCCAAGCTCCCGTACCCTGAGAGGTAGAGACCACGATCCCATTTGACACAAGAGAAAACCTGACTCAGCTGGCAGAGCCACTATTACTGGGAGCAGAAACTCCCTCTAGGGGGACTCAACTGTGGAAAGAGCTAGGAGCTTCCTGCAGGAGGCAGGAATCACTGAGGGGACACCAGGTCAGCACTCCCATGTACCATAAGATGCTATGCTTGGAAAAGCTGGGTGAGGGAGGAGACCGGTGAGGGGACTCAGGGGAGGGTGCTAGTGGGGGAGGGGCTGATGTGGAGGGTCTTTCCATTTTTTCCAGTTCATTCACTTTCCAAAAGAAGTCAGGAGACAGGCAGTGACCTTTCCTCGCATCTTTGAAGAACCCACAAGCATGTCTTGATGCAGCAGTGTGTGGGCCAGGAGATACAGGCGTGTCTTCCCAAGTGAAGGGCTTGGAAACTCTCAGCCCAGCCTCCCTCCCTTGTGGTGGGTTCAGACAGACACCACCAGAGGAAGCTTGGGACCTCCAGGCTCTGGCAGAAGGTGTCTCCACGTTTGGGTCTCGCTGTGCTCTGTGGAGGAAGGGTTTGGGGGCATAGACTAAGCCAAACGCAGATGTCATAAAACAAAATTTATCTTTAATTGGTAAGTGTCAACAGCAGTACAAAAGATGGAGTGATGACAGCTAGTTTAGGGTAAGGACAGTCTTGAGGTAAATGAGCATAAATAGGCAGTTCCTATAGACTCCCCCGGGGGCCTGGGCCCATCATGGCATATACATTATCACCCAAGGACGGCATGGCGAACACATCAGGAAAGCACCTTGTGCAAAGAAGGGGAAAGTAGCTAAGGTGCCAACATATTCCAGGATAGACAAAGACGGCACGCCTTTCCATCTCATCTTTCCCCTTAATGGTGAGGCAGAGCAGGGGAGAAGCCCTGCAGAAGTTCCACTGGAGGGTGTTCCATGCTGAGTTTGTCTCATGCCAATACTGTCCGAAAAGATCCAAGAGGTCTGTGTATGTGACAAGCTAAGGGCAGTGATCCACGCCTTCTGATCTGAAGTTTCCATTCCGTTCAGTCCTTAGCAAACTTCTCTTTTTCACTATCCAGAGGAGAGCGCGCGAAAGCTGTGATGGTAACCCTTCAGGTCATTTAAAAACTTTACACTGGACTGTACAAGATTTTTTTTGATAAACTATTTACATTTTCAGACTTTCAAACATATTCAAAGCAGCAATAGACACTAGTTTTTTAATGCTTGTTTGTTTTTCTAATTGCCCAAAATAGTTACCAGCCAAGGGCTAAGTAGGTACCTGTGGTATTCATAGAACTTCAACAAAGAAAATCTGCACTTAAAATTTGCTGGAGGGTGTGCTGAATGTCCCTGGAGTTTAAAGGGCCACACCCACAGTGTTGCTATGGGAACCAATGCACAGTACCTTGACAACAGAGTTGTAGTTGTCCGGACAGCCCGACACAAGCTTTACACTTCAAAACAGCAGCCAGCATGTCAGTCCAGCATGTCAGTGAGTTGTGCTGATTAAATTAACATAGAATACAATCTCACAATATACATCACAAACAAATACAATGTAGGCAAAGAAAAGAGTTACAGTAAAGATAAGTTACGTAGTAACAGCTTAGAGGCTTGGATAGGGTGATTCAAAATTGTACACAGCAAATACAAGAATGAGCCAAAACAAGTGCTCAGCTGTTTTGTATCCTAATGTGCTATGGGCTGGAGGAGGATACAAGAGGACTGCACTGAGAGAGAGAGAAAGAGAGAGAGAGAGAGAGAGAGAGAGAGAGAGAGAGAGAGAGAACAGATGCACTTATGACGGAGACAGACAACGGGGGATGCACACGAGCAGACCTGTAATCTGTAGCAATGACAAATGCTTGCACATCCCCAGACTCCAAGAGTGCCCACACTGAAGCCCTGCTCTATGCCTGCTATTCCGTGGAAATAAGACACCAGCAAGGAATATCACCTACTGCCGTCTCCCGCTCCTTGGTTGACAGAAGGGAATCTGCAGGAAGCCTTACTCTTTCATCCCGTGCCAAGTCACTCCATCTCTGCCCTCAAGCATCCCCGGTGCCAGCTTATAAGTGCTTGGAAATGATGAGATGGGGACAAAAAAGATCCTTGCTTGCATGTCATGATTTTCGGTCTATTTTTGATGTGCAGAGCCATGAGCAAGCGTGTGTGGCGTCAGAAACAATGTGATTGGCAGGAGAAATAGCTGCTTCCGAAGAAGCCGTGTCAGGGGTAGAGGACCTAAATAAATGCAGTGCAAGTGAGACAGTGAGGTCACCACTGTCATTATCCGTTCAGAGGGAGCTGACATGCCAGCCCCATCCTTGGAGGAATCGTGGACCCCAGGCAAGGCTACAGCTGGCGGTGCTGTCTCTGTGTTGGTAACGAGGAAGACCCCGCCGTCATCTCAGTCTCTTCCTCTGGACACAGCTCTGCTGTTGTTGGCACTTGGTACGGGGCTTCTATGGCTCAAAACTATGAAGGAATCCTTGGCTCCTTTCCCTAAGGAGCTGGGAAAGTCAACTTATCGAAAAGGAGTGGCTAGAGCAACAGCCTCCAGGGTGGATCATGTGACCAGGCCATGTTTCTTCTGAGGGAGGTGCCTATCCCCAGAAAAGCAGGCTTTACTCTAGCCTGCTTTCAGCTCTAAAGCGATCACACCCTTCTTTAGCACTGCTGGCTCCCATGGGGCTGATGTCCAGAGGAGGCCAGCATTTGACAAGCGGGCTCTGTGAGCCCACACCTGAATTTAGAAGATGGCCTAGGAGTCTGTGTCAAGACCTTGGCGAAGGGATTCAGGCCCAGGACAGGATAGAAGGCATCAAATACCAAATGAGGCAAACCCAAAAGGCTGAGAGAGTGTTTGCAAAAACAACATGGCCTGGAACTTGCCAATGATGAAGGGAAATTGCCAACTAGGCTTCTTGTGTCCATGGATGGACCTTCTCTCTCTCTGTCCCCTCTCTATCCCATAGAGCCCGTACACTAAAAAGAGGATTGTCTGACAATACCACTATTCCCAGGCGACGAAGGAAAGCCTGATCCTGATCCTGGGAGTTCTTTCCTGGAGACAAACTTGGGTTTTTATTTAAAGCTAGTGTAAAAGAGGGGATGCTGCAGGAAGGTGACTTTAGAACCCCTTGACTGGTACCGTGAGGTTTATACTAATACCGCAGACAGATCTTTACCTCTAAAATGCAACTCGGCTTCCCATAAGGAAAGAGGGGGAGGTCTGAGTGGGGGACCAGGGGGCTCGGGACCACATGAGAACCAGGCAGGGTCCTGCTGTCTTGGCCGAGGATGGGCACTGCCTCACTGGAGCTGACAGCTCTCTGTCCACACTAAATCTGCCTGGCCAGCTTTTAGTGTGGAGCAACACATACGGATAAAGAATAGAAAGAAGATACATAACTTATATGTCACTAGGAACTCATGAACCAAAAATAAATTCTATTTCTATGTTATATTTACACAATTAGAAAACTCTAAAAATGAGATGGTGAAGTCATAAAAACTCTGTTTAAGCCCCACTGATGTAAGCGATCTCTGTGATTGTCATTCTCATTCCCATGGATATTTAGAGCCAAATGTGGCTAATAAATAGAATAAACTGTGTACGTGTACGCACAAAATTTAGATTAGAATACAGCATCACTGTCTGAGCCAATGAGAGGCGTTCCCACCCAGTCATTCCCAGACAACCTTTGTGTTTGAGAATATGGCTAGAAGTTACTGGACCCAGTGCCGAGGCAGAGTTGGAGCTGACACGAAGTTCCTACACACATGTATTTTGCATAAATAAATGAAATAACAAGACATAAAAATGACTCAGATCCGGCAACTGTGAGGCAAGCCCACACGAGTCGAGACAGATGACTTTTGTTCATGTAGTTTCCATACCAGTTTCACATTAGTCAGTGATAAAAATACCATTTATATCCAGTGCTTGTAACACTTACGAAACAGCATCTGTGAGTGTGTGTGGTTTTGTTTGTTTGTTTTTTCTCTCTCTTTTTTTTTTTTTTAAAGCAAATCAAGTTTCAATCCTAAAGAACAGTCCTTTGTTCTCCACCAGCCCAGAATATTATTTTGGCATGGTCATAAAAACAAACAAAATTAACTATTATGCTAAATGTTTACCTTTGTGCAAAATTAATTACATACAATACAATGCTAGCCATATAACACTCTACCTATACAGCACAATTTAAAAAACAAAAACAAAAAACAAAACAAACTTACCAGTGAGAGCAGAAGCCAAAGAGAAAGGAAGAAGCATGAGGAGGAATTGAGGAGAGACAGAGAGTCCAAGAAATCAGTAAGACATAATAAATACTCATTTTGTTTTTGAAAAGTGACCTCCTCCTCATATGAAATCAATGTACAATAACAAAGTTCCATTCCCCAATCAATATTAAGAACAAAACATTCCTATCAGTACCTTAAACAGCCTATGGAGAGCACTCACAGCGAATGACAGGGCTGCTCATCTCTTGGCTAGACCTATTTATTGCTAGTAGGTATGGCCTGGAGCACTCTTTAAATAAATATGAAGTTTTATTACTTTCTTCCAAGTGACAAAATGGCTCAAAAAAATCTGATGGAGCTGTTCTTTGTCCTGACGCTCAGATTCTGGGCTGTCCTGTCCACTGACTCACTCCCAAGAAAGGGCTCTGGGTAAGGCTCCTGTAAGCAACCAGGCCTAGGTTCAGGAAGGTCAAAGTTACAACACAGTAGAACCACCTGCAGTGAGGAGATGGGACAGGAAGCCTGTGCCTCCCAGCCCAGCAGCATGTCTCTGGAGCAGATCACCTCATCTACGAGCAGCCTCTCAGACATGAGGTCTGCCAGCAGAGCAGGTGGACCACCCCAGTAGCCGTCTGTCTGTCCTACTGGCTATCAGCTCTCTCATGCTTACCCTTCCCCGTGGTTTCCTTTTGCCCTTGTCTTTGTGTTGAGGCCTCTAACATCCTGGAAATTTTGCACAGCTCTCCTTGGATGTGCCAGTCAGGACCAGCTTCCTCAGTAAAAGTGACAGCAGGCCAGCTCCACTGTAGACCCCTGTGTGGCCTATGGCCCTTGGGCTTCAGAGTGGCTGTGAGAGGCTCCTTGACTGGCAGTGACCGCTGCTGACCTTCACTGCTGCGTGGAACTCAGGTTCTACTGTTCACTGAAAACTGAATGAAGGAGGAACTCCAGGCAAAGACCTGAGCTCACAGTGACTCACAGGGGCATACATGTTTACATGTAAGACACCTTTGACCCAGATAGACACTCATCTTTAAAAACAACAACATATGCATTTACTAGCATCAATTCAGAAATGTTTCCAGGGGCTCTGGGGACATGAGATTGCTATGTACATCTTTTGTATCCAGCAGGAAAAATAGGTGAAAGGGCAAGGAGGGCAAACAAAAAAGAAAAATTATTAAATTAATGCCACCAATAATTTTTAAAATAAATAGTAAGTGGACCCTTGACATTCTGGAATGAATAAATTATTTAAGAGAAAAATGTGTTAAGATTGAATGTCAGGGTGAAAGGCAGGGGAGAATGGATGTAGTGAAAGGCGGTCTCAGGCAGGGAGACCACCGTGTGGTGTCTGGTGTGGAGACGGCTCTGACGCGTGTCGTCCCACGCCACACACTGATGGCACGTCAAGAGGCAAACACAATTGGGTTCATGCACTGTGGCAGCCTTGCTCATTCCTTACAATATCTTGTCTCCAGATTCCTGAGTACTTCACCATTTTCTGGGAAAAAAAAAGTGTGGTTTGCTATTTTATTTTAAGATGCCAAAGATTGTCTAAGACTTTGCAGTGTCTCCGGTAAGACTTTCAAAATAGTTAAGATTCAAAAGTTATGAAAAAAGTTTGGCACATTCAAAGTTGAATTCTACACATGGAAAAAAAATGGAATTCCGAGGCCTTATGAACATGTTCTATATGCAGCCGCACACACCGTGGACTTGTCCGGTCTCACAATACGAAATCCTCAGTTGTTCTCTAAAGTAATTCAGAATAAAAACACATTCACAACCTGTAGCCGGCACAGCATACCTGAGTGAGAATGTTTAACCCCATCTAAAACAGTAACTTAAACCCTTTGTCAACATCCCAAAGAAAAATAGTAAGACAGAAATGTAAGACTTGAAAGACGGCGATGGGCGGAGATAAGTTTCCAAGTCCCCGTGTCTCATATTTAATACGTCTTCACCTAAATAAACAACAACAGTAACGGTAACGACAAAAACTCAAGTTTATGAAAACTCAGGAAAACTTAATCTGTCTCACACGTTACGAAGCGATTAAGACCACTCTGCTGATGTATGGTGGAGCCACAAATGCATGCGGGCTCTTTAAGAACTTTGTTGTTGTTGGGGAAAGGGGGTGAAATGTCAGAGTGTTCTAATTCAGCAAACAAAAGCTCCTCAGTTGGCACTGACAGGCTCTGGGGCCTCGTTTTCGCTGCTATAGTCTGATTTGGGATCATCTTCGTAGTCGTCATAGGCTTCCATTTCATCCTCTCCATTAATCATGTCGTTCCCAGCCAGGCTTGCGCCGTCCATCTTCATACCATACGTGCTCTGGATGACAGGGAGGCTGGGCTCTGGGCTGGCAGAGGTGCTAGAGCAGTCAGATGTCATCTGAGGTGATGGTGTGGTCGTTGCCATAGTAATAGCACCAGGATACACAACACCTGTTCCTGTGGTGATGGGAATCTGAGGCTGTTGCCTGTATAGATTCAGAGACAAAATGAAAGAGGGGGAATTCTTTATAGGTTCTCACACGGGATCGGGACTTCCTAACCCACATTCCCCAAACCAGGCCCTCTGTAGCATGTCAGGGGCCAGAAGTGACAACAATCTTCCTTGGAAGAATCCCTGGGCTGTCCTGATGCTGTGGCTGGTGGTTAAATAATACAACGCAGCAATCTGCTGACAGCTTCCCAACATAAAGGCAGAACTTTCAACTTGGCAAATTTCACTAAGCTCAGATCACACTTGGCATTGGGTCAGGCACAAATGCTGAGGTTAAGACCACAACAGTCCATGTGAGACCATTTTAAAAGAGACCAGAGTGTTTCTTTTTTAAAATAGTCAAGAGGCACAGGCATATTGTAATGATACTCTTAAGAGGGTTGGTGTCATCTTCAACTTAGTTTGAGAACTACAGATGAAAGAGAAAAATGGGAAAGGACCTGGCAAGTCGCAAATAGTCAGATTTGGCAGATTTCCTTCCTTCTCTGTTCTAATGTGTACTTGCTGGAGCTGGACTTGCCAGGCCAGGATCCTTCCAGAATAGTCATCTCAGATGCCACTGCTCCTGAGGCAGAGGATGGAGCCGGGGCGGGAGGACGCGGTAATAAAGAGCAGTGAGCTTTGCACCCTAATAATAAGATTAAGATGCGCCAGGCATGCCGTTCCCGCTACATTCCAGAAGAGGCCAAGTCACACTAGATCACTCACAGATCACACACAGGGCTTCATACTGTGTCCCCAGCTCAAACAAGCCAGCAGAACTTGTGAAGGTCGTGCTCTCCTGTGCAGGAATTGCTGCCACTGTGTGCCTCCTTTCACCCTGCCCACAAGAATTAAACTTCCACCAAGCTCAGACACTATCTCTGAGGTGACATTTTCAACTATGTAAAATTTATCAAATGATTCTCAGTGAATTTGGGCAGCAGATTATGGTCAACATACACCTCAGGTATCATTGTTATAGCTCTTGCTAAGCTGTGGTATTCATATGTTTGTAAAAATGAGGTCAAGGTGCTCTGGAAGGCCCTCCTACCTGCTGGAACCAAGGCTTTTAGTCACTTGTCATCTGAGCAAATGGCCTTCTCATCGGCCTTCTACATCAGCAAGACTTTCTATCCACCCCACTCTCAGGAAACAAATGCATATGTATGAAGCAGCTTTGGTGCCAGCTGGTCAGGGACACCCGAGGATGGTGTCATTTCCTCGCAGAGGCCTCCACTCTCTTTTTGTAGGAGAAAGGCCAAGATGCCTGGAGATGTGTGCTTAAACTACCTTTAGGGACCTTCAGCCACCATGGGGTGTCCCCTAATTCTTTAACCCTTTACTAATATAACCTATGTTGTGTGGTTATAACACATACCTAGATAGATAGATAAACAGACAGACAGACAGACAGTTATAACTTCATTCAACGAACATAACCACCCCTTGAATATTTACTGCTCCTGAGAAGACATAAGTTGACAACTCAGCAGCACCTATCTGAGCTGGCACTGACCCTGGACTTGACATTAATCCGGTTCCTATGATTCCTATGTTGAATCTGATCTCCTGAAGAAAGCAAGTGACAGGAGAAACTCCTGTATCTGTAGATGCACCTACAAAATCCTGCTCCCTCTCAAATTCTAAAAACTTATGCTTCTTGATTCTTAAATTTGGGATACATTTGCACAAATTTAATTTCATGCTAATATTCCCAGGGGATACTGTATTACATTTATTTTGGATAATTATAATAGAATTATTTTTGCCTTAAATTGCAAGTGTAGATAGAACACTCGCCTACAATATTGGCCCATTTTACAGATTTCCTAGTGTTACAGCTATTCTAAACTTTTCAGACCAACACAAACTATCAAATGGTATATTTTCTTTAAATACAGAAAACGTGCTTTTCACAAGAACAGGTGGTTGCTTTTTGAAATTAAATTAAAATATCTGTGTTTTGTGTGTGTGTGTGTGTGTGTTATTTTTATGTCTTAAATAAATGTAAGTTGAGCCCAAAGTCTGGTCCTTGGTTCTGTAGAGCCCTCTCCTAACCTAACTTTCTTTGCACTCCTGGGATTCTTCCATGGTTCACTGCTATGCTCCTCCCCTGGCCTCTGCTCCACCTCCAACCTCTCTAAAAGTTGCCTTACTAGAGGACTGGAGATGGGGTCACTCCCTCCCTGCTCTGACAGGCAGGCACCCAGATGAACTTGGACAGAGAAAATGCAGTTCCCTGCTTCTGCTCCGTACCTTTACAATGTGAGTTTTGTACTAGTCTCTGGTGTTGTCCTGACAGCAGCATAGGCACCTTCTCCCAGCCCACACCTCTCTCTCCTAGACAGCCCTTGAATACTTTCAACACTCATCAAATACTTGACTTCTTTCTCTGAGATGATGGTCTGACTTTCCATTGCATGTGGCAATGAGATACAGCTAGAAGAGACGTTCTGCATGCTCCCACCATCACACTGCCTCACTGGTGTTTCTGAGCCCAACCCTCTGCTTGCACTGTGCATGTTTAGTGAATTCCGAATCTGACACAGAGACTTCTTGTTTGTCCACTGAACCTATTTTCCATGGCTTACTACCTCTCCCCTCCTCTAGCTACGGCTCTACTTACTCTGATGTTCTAAAAGAACTCAAGAACGCTGTCTCTCTCTCAGTTCTTCCTTAGTCCCATTTCAATTTCTCCTGACACTGTACTGAAACAACTCAGGAGGAGAACACCAATAATCTCCAAAATACTAAACCCAAAATCAGCTTGATCCAAAATCCAATACTGTGGCATTAAATAGTGTCTGTGTGCTGATAATGCCAAAGTTTGTATCTCTAAGCAAGTACCTTCCTCCTAAACTCTTTCTCTCTCTCGATCTGTCTGTCTATCTGTCTCTCCTCTGTCTCTCCTCTCTCTCTCTCTCTCTCTCTCTCTCTCACACACACACACACACACACACTCACACTTGCGTGTGCTTTTATTTGAATGCTAAAGGCTATCTCAGTCTTACAAGTGCAAAACCAAACTTCTAGTCATTCTCTGGATTTCCAGCCTTCAGTGGCCATTCAGATCTTGGCTAACAAATACTTCCCATCTTTCCAGTTCCTCAAGCCAATTCTTAATAAGAGTCCTTTCAAGCACTGCAGCTAATCCATTAGCAAACCATGTACGCTCTCCATCAGGAAAATGTCTAGAATCTATCTACTTCTTGGCACCTCTACTCCTACACACCTGGTCAAACCACCATCAATTCAAGCATGATTTATCCTAGGAGCTCAGCTTCTTTCTAACAGGCTGCTCCTCCTCAGACAAGTTTCAACACAGTGACTAGAGTGATCCTGTCAAAGCCCAGCATCTTTTTTGCTTTGTTTTTAATTCTTCAAAGCCTTTCCTCTGTGCCCAGAGTCAAATTCAGCTTCACAATGGCCTATAAGGTCTTTCACAGTTTGGCTCTCTGTCATCTCTCTGACATCTACAATTCTTCCCACTGATTCCCTCTGCTCTGCTCCCGTCTTCTTGAATGAGCATAGTTATATCTGGAGACCTGGAGGGCTGTGTCTCCTCTGCCCACTTGCTGCACAGCTTGCTTCCTCACCTGCTCAGTTCTCACTCCCTCAGGAAAATACTGGGGCTACCCTAACCACTGCACCAGCCTCCAAAACACTCTGCCACTGTCCCTTTTCTGTTTTATTGTTCTCTGAAGGTGCTTGTATCTATTTCATACTTATTCATTCATTGATTGATTGAATGTAACTTCATAAGGACAGGATTCTTCATTAATATAGCTCCAGAGTCCAGGAAATGCCTGACACAGAGAACATGCAGTAAATACATAGAGTTAGTGATTCTCTGATGCTGTTCTGTTGAATACATTGAGTTAGTGGATGAGGGGACAGACCAGTGAATGGGATGGAAAAAATGGAAAAATGTAAGTAGTATCTCAGACAAGAAAAGAAATGAGAATAGAAGTCTGAGAAGGAGCCGGATGGTGGTGGCACACACCTTAATCCCAGCACTAGGGAGGCAGAGGCAGGAAGATCTAGATAAGCATTTCATCATTCCATACTGTAAACACCACCCATACTGTGGCTGGTGTACAAACTACTGTCAGCCAACCCAGTGTGGTAGTTTGAATGTAATTGGCTCCCTTAATCTCTTAGGTAGAGGTACTATTTGGAGGGGTGGCTTTGTTGGAATGGGTATGGCCTTGTTGGAGGAAGTGTGACACTGTTGGGGAGGGCTTTGAGGATTTCTATGCTCAGGATACTGCCCAGTATCACAAATGACTTCCTGTTGCCTGCAAGATGTATCTCAGTTTTTTCTCCAGTACCACATTTGCCTGCATGCTGTCATGCTCCCCACCATGATGATAAAGTATCAGCAAACCCCCTCAATTAAATGTTTTCCTTATAAGAGTTGTTGTGGTCATGATGTCACTTCACAGCAATAGTAACTCTAAGACAGAAGTTGGTACTAGGGACTGGAGTATTGTTGTGATAGGTTGGACCATGTGTTTGTTTAGAGTAATAATGAACTTTGATACTTAAAAAGCAGTGGAATGCTTTGAGCACTACTTAATGGGCCATACTAAGAGGAGCATGGGAAACAGAGGTACTAAGAGTTATTTGAACTGTCAGGGGCTCATTCAAGAGGTTTCAGAGAAGAATCTTAGTATGTTGCCCGTGTTCAAAGACTCTGCTAAAGTGAAGAGTTTTGAATTAATTCCATTGGTAGAGGAACTCTCAAAATAGCCTTGTATAGACTCTGTCTTGTGGTTACTAGTGTCCATGCTTATGAAGATTTATAATGAAAAGGAGCAAGCTAAGCAGGGCAAATTACAAAATGTAAATTTTTAGGATCCCATGTGGCTAAATTTCCAATTTGTAAAAAGGAACTAGAGAAAAACTTAGAGCTAGGTGTGGTGGGACACACCTTCAAGCTCAGCACTAGGAAGGCAGAGGCTGGCAGATCTCTAAGTCTGAAGGCAGCCC